GATTAAAATCATTATTTTATTGTAAACAATCCAGAATTCTTACGAATATAACCAAATATTAATTTTATAGCACATGAACTCAATTCCGATATTAATATCGGAATTCCGATATTGAAATCTAATATCGGAATCCAATATCGGAATTGAAAACCTTCCGATATTACATGCCCTAGTCTCCACCTTACACTTAACGTAAGTTTTAGTCACCATGCAAACTGAGGGTTAAGGGGGGCTCCCATACAACAACAGAGTCGTACGGCACCCTTCGTGAGCGAATCCGGCTCGTACTAGGCCGGTTTTCTATTTGCCATCTACTTTTGACCGAGTCTGCCAGACGTTTCTAGGATTGACTAGGCAAAGCCCGAAACAAATTATTTTAGTTTCGACGTTTGACTGAACCGTTTAGGCACTTCTAGGTTTGACTTAGTCAAAGGCCGAAATAAGAATTCACTTCGGGGTTTGCCTGAAGGCCTTAGTCAAACCTAGGATAGACCAGTCATTCCGCGAAGAGACTGCATATCGACCTTTGACTATGACATATATATATAAAAGAAAGTCGTGTTAGTTACTTCGCTTATAACTCAAGAACGGCTGAACCGATTTAGCTGAAAATTGTCAGGGAGGTAGTTTAGAGCCAGGAGAAGGACATAGGATACTTTTTATCCCGTTATTTATTGCCATTAAGGCGGAACAAAGTTCGCCGGGTCAGCTAGTTGTTTATAATTTGTGCTTACTGTGTTCAATAAAGTCTATTTCTTTCTTCTTTCTTTCTTTCTTTCTTACACAAAATGTATAGTGCTCATACGCATGTACTCGTATTAATATACCCGTAGGCCTTTCTATCATTTTCAGATACAGATTGCAAAAAACAGAGGAAAAAAAATTCTGCAATTAGATACGGATATTAATTCTTCCAATCCTTTCATAGGCTTCACCTGCAATGCCATATGCTCGTAGGATTAGATTTTTTCACAATACCGTGACATACATTTTAAAACAATGCAGCTTTCCATCTGCAAGAGCTTATGGTAGGTACATGAAATGAAAAAGGAGAAGGTTCTTGCTTTTGTAAGGCTTAAATTAACATAATTTAAAGCATGGCCAATTAAATTGTGGACTGAAACTGAATCTATACGCGCTAATTTCCGGTCAGATTGAAAAATAACTCTTTTTGTGTTGTATGAATGGGCTTCATCGAGAAAAGGTGATGTTATTTAGGCTATATAACATCACCTTACAGCCAATAGGGGCAGAGCAGTAAAGAAAAATTTTGCAAAAACTGGAAATATTATTCAACTATTTTCACATACAAAGTCGCGGGTACAGCTAGTATGAAAGATGATTAATTATTAAAACAGCTAAATCACCAGCTGCCGGCAGCCAGCAAAGCTGATTTAAATCCAGACTAAGACTTGGATTTGAATCAGATTTAGAAGTTAAGCTACCTACCTGAAACGTATTCTTATCTGAAAATTCTCTATTTCCAAGTCTGTTGGCTAGGAAATTGTTATAGCAATTATTTCCTTATATTTATACCGCCTTTGGCACAATACCATCATGTTCCTAAAACAAAGAAGTGAAATTCTGCCTAAGCGTCTTAGTGAGACGTGGCTTCTAACGAAAGGGTCCTAATACTACGTAACAATGACATCGAGACAAAGCAAGCCTTGAGGATGCTAGCAATTATTCATCTTTGAACATGAACGGTTTCATCTAAGGCTCAAGGAGACACAATGATAGTACATTATTTTCAGTCTGGCACTATTCAGAAACTCCCTATTACAACCCCTAATTACGCAAACAAAGGTCTAGACAACGAATAAACCTGCCTATTAAACATTCTTCCAACATTTGACCCCAGCGGGACTAGACCTGTAACCATAGTTTTGGCATTTTGTAGTCTGGTACGTAAATAATCAGGTGACGTGGATAACAAAGACCCAAAAAAATCTTTATTTGAATAGACTGAATTAGCTTACAAATCGTCAAATACTCTAAGGAGCCTAAATAGGTACATCTTCGCTAGCCTCTCTAACTGACGTAACTGACATTTAGCAAAATTTTCAGGCGATTAGACAGATCGATTCGTCTTGCGAAATTGATTAAGATGGTTTAGATAACTCAGTTTCGAAAAAAATGTCAGATACGTCAGTTAGAGAGGTAAGCGACGACATATCTCATTCTTTTTTTGCCCTACCAGCGCTTCGAGGCAAACATTTGGCAAGTGCTGAGAAGAAGCGCCGCAACAAACTCAACCGTAATCGTTTAGAATTGACGTGCGATGATTGGAGAATCTAGTTAGATTTCGAGTTTACGCAGTTTTTTACTGAGCATGTAAGGCAGATTTTGACTATGCGCTTTGAGGCTTCCAAAAATATCTTTAATGAGTTAACATCCCATATTTTGATGACAAAGTAACCGTCTCCTCAGAAGTCGCGAGAGCTCTCTGACCCGTCATTAAATTTCTTTTCGTATCGCCGACCGGACAATATGAGTACATGCCATTCTTTTCACGCGCGTTTTCGATGATTTTGGTTCAAATTCTTTTATCTTCTACGAAAATAATGAGGCCCTCACTCGTAGATTGTTGACAAAGCATCTGAGTTCGCGTCAAATCGCCTAGTGATGATTATTCTTTGTGGGAATCTTTTGCGCGCTCTTTGTGAACGTTTTGGTGAAAAACCGAATTATTTTTTTAATAAACTGAGGCGCAAACCGTCAGTCTATTGACGTTTTTGGTGCTATTGTGGGATTTCATCAAGCATAGATAAAGTTTTTCTTTATGATTTTAGAATTATTTTAATGTGGTTTTGTGTTGAATAAAAATACGACTGGGAATGACAAAATAAGTGTATTGCATGTTTTTGTCACCTACTTAATGAAATGTATTTTATTTTTTGTTTTAAGTCAAGAAACTAAATGGTTTAATAGTTCAAATTTTTAATTTTTTTTTCTCTACCTACCCTTCATAGATTTTAATGAAAGAATTAAGTTTCATAGATTTCAGTAGGTAGAGATCGCTCGTTTGTATTAGACTGGATGAGTTGTTGATATTTGTCAACATCTTATTATAAGCAATATTTCAGTTCGGCACAGCCTGTCCGTCCAGTACCTAGTGTCGTACACAAAAGACTTTGAAAAATACGCAAAACGCACCCTACTTCACGTGGGGACGCGCCTTAAAGCACCCTGGTCCTTAGACAGATTTGTCGCAGTTAGTTATAAGATATCCGGGTGAAATAGTGGCGCAATAAGTCAAGGAGGGTCAGGGAAATTTGTCACGGATAGGTGAGGGCTCGTTTTATTGCCAGGTATATCACGTGACGTTGTTTATAGAGCTAGGTATGTTTACCTATAGTATTTGTTCTTATGTAGGTAGTGGAGATAAACTATGATAAAATATGTGTATAGTCGTATGACAAGTGACATTATTATTTAAGCTATTGTTTATCAAAAGCCATAACTCCTGATCCTGCGCCGCCCGCATCCAGGCGCTTCCCGCAACCTTCACCAGATCGTTGGATCATCCTGAAGCCTGGCTACACTACGTCTTCCAGTACTACGTGGTCGCCATTCGAGAATATTTGCCCCAATGTTGTAATAACAATTTGTTTACATTTCACTTTTGTCTAAAGACGAAATTCCGTTTAGAGGTACTTCCGTCTAGAGGTGATCCTATCTAGAAGAAAGTCTTTCTAGAGGTAATTCCATCTAAAGAGGTAAAGGTTCCGTCAAGAGGCAATGTCATGTAGGGTAAGTCCAGGATAGATGCCCCACTTTTTGAAACAGCTCTGTAACTCAGTCAGTTAGTTTTTATCAACAATTTGACCTTAGTTTCTGTAAACTTTGGTCTTTCGTCTATGATATTACTATAATTATTTTAGTTTAAGTTATACCGATTCTGAGTAAATACCATTTTAATTGACCTCTAAAAAGTGGGATAGACGCCTAATGTGGGGGATAGAAGACTCACTGTATGATTGCTTCAAAGGATAGATGCCTGATGCAGGGATAGATGACTCTTTAATACAGTTTTTGAATTCTAAGGATCAAATGCATTTTGAAATCAAACAAGCTAAGTATTACTATTTAAGATTGTTTGTTGTTAAATGAATTAAAAATGAAATTTATTATTTTTTATTAAAAATAGTACATAGTATATCCACCCGAAAAATATAACCCTCCTTCTAGCGCAGTCGGGTAAAAAGGTAATTCGATCAGAAGGGCACCCTATTTATTACTTTCCTAAGGTTAGCCGTACTACATTCTTTTTTTCTTCTTACTTGCTACTTGTGACAAAAAGAGCAGGTTAGGATAGATGCCCCTAGGTGCATGGGACATGGGCCTAAGGGCATCTATACCCAAAAAAAATTAGGCAACTATCCTTTTAGCATAGGATAGGTGCCTTTTTTAATAAAAAATACAATAATACTAAAAATCGAATTAAACATAGCTATCACGTCTAATTTATAAGATAGTCTATCAAATTATATAAAAATCTGCTTCATTTTACAGCTGACAAAAAAATTATCCATTAAAAGATACTTACCAATTTTATTTCGACGCTCGCTAAGGTTTGGCCGCGGAAGATTTTTACTCTCACTGGCTAAACGAACGCACTCTTTGATGGTTTGCTAGGCGAAAAGTGGTACGGGGAGGTCCCTTTCTATTATACGTACTATAACTTTAGGCTAAGTTGCTTGTAACATAGTGTACTTAAAATCGCGGCACCTATCCCACTGGGGCATGTATCCTGGAATTACCCTAGAGGTAATTTTGTAAAGAGGCAAATCCTTCAAAAGACGTAATTTCATGTAGAGGCAATTTTGTAAAGAGGTAATCCCGTAAAAAAGTGATTCCGTAAAGAGATAATTTCGTAAAGGGCTAATTTCGTAAAGAGATAATTCCGTAAAGAAGTAAATCCGTCTAAAGAGGTATTTCCGTTTATAGGTAAGTCCGTAAAGAGGTAAACCCGTCTAAAGAGGTATCTCCTTCCACAGACGTGATCCAAGTGTGGTCGGCGCCGGGCGGCATGACGCGGCTGCCGTGCGACCTGGCCGCGCCCGTCGGCGACGTCGCCATGATGCTGTGGTTCAAGGATGGCGACAAGATGCCTATTTACACGTAAGTTTAATTTGGATTTAAGAGTGTTCAGGAAGCTTCGCCATATACTCACGTCCGAAATACCGCAGTGTCTCAAGTCGAAAGTATTTGACCAATGCGTGTTGCCAGTGATGGTATACGGATCTGAGACGTGGTCGCTTACTATGGGCCTCATAAGAAGGCTCAAGGTCACCCAAAGGGCGATGGAGCGGGCTATGCTCGGAGTTTCCCTGCGTGATCGAATCAGAAATGAGGAGATCCGCAGGAGAACCAAAGTAACCGACATAGCTCGCAGAATTGCTAAAATCAAGTGGCAGTGGGCGGTGCACATAGCTCGTAGAGACGATGGCCGTTGGGGCAGGAAAGTTCTCGAGTGGCGACCACGGGCTGGAAGACGTAGCGTGGGCAGGCCTCCTACTAGGTGGACCGACGATCTGGTAAAGGTCGCGGGAAGAGCCTGGATGCGGGCAGCGCAGGACCGTTCATTGTGGAAAACCTTGGGGGAGGCCTTTGTCCAGCAGTGGACGTCATTTGGCTGAAACGAACGAATTTGGATTTTATTAGAGTGTATGCGTTTAGAATAACGCTGTATTTGAAGATTACGCGGAGTTCAAACTCAGTTGTCCGCATCAGTGAGAAATCTGTGGCTTTTATGTGAGTTTACACCAAACGCACCCGTTAGCGAGTGCGTAACAAAATCTATGACGATTTTAGTTCTTGAAGGTAGCCGCTTGGGGCGCTAAATGATATGTCATATTCATGTCATTTTTGACGCAGTCGCTAGCGAGCATGTCATTTTAACCAAAGCTGCAGATCCGTATTTTTTATCAGTATATTTTGTAATTCAGTTACCCTTATTAACGAAAACCTGCCTGCCTGCATCTCACCTGATGGAAACTGTAGTGATGATTAGGCCGAAGGTTATAGTGGGCTGTAGGAATCCGGGATCTAGCTTAATATCTATGGTACAGTTCGCCAAAAATGCAATACAACATGATGGATAGTGATGATAAGGTAAACTGGTTGAGAATGCCTTATGGCGTTAAGTTCGCCTTATGTTCAAATTTGTCTGGCATTAAAGATTTAATAAATAATAATTAAATAAGGCCTAAGATGGAAGAGCTGTACCCGGAATCTAGCTTAGTATATCCTGGTATAGCTCACCAAAACTGCAGTCCATTCGAACGCGGTGGCCATGTGCTCACGTATCGCATTGTCGTGGCTTGATTAACCTATTCACACTGAAACAATAGGCTTATTACTGACGTCACGGAACCAGTGACTATTGCACGTCCGACACAATTTACGGGACGTAGCTTAGGGATGAGCAGTTGTCTCACTCGCACTTATGTAGATATAGATGTTTCTCTATTTGATAAGAGGCGAGAAGCTAACCTAATAAGTGATTATCAAATGACATGGTCCGGTTGTTATCATCATCAGTCATATCAATTACCAACAAGATCATTTTTGATCAATTATCTTTTTGTAAGTAAAATCCCTGGAAAATCTATATGCATACTAATTGTCTTTAGTCCCGGTCCATGAGGTTCATTGAATAAGAATACGTGCAGAAAGTCGCAATCAAGCTGAAAGTATGTTACTGCAAATGCCTACATTTTTATTGCAACTACATAAAATACCGCAGTGCTTAGCTAAGCAGTAAGCAAGTGAATTCCAGCTGTACAGTCCTTAGCAATGCTATTTATTCACTACAATTATTTTCTGGAGATACACCGAAGAACATATTATTATGAGTAGGGCTCGTTAAGTAATTTATTAAGTATGTATTTTTAGTTATATTTTTTTTTCGTTAAAATATGAGGCTTTTTACAAGCACTTTTTAATAGTTTTATCTAATACAGTTACTTTTTTTACTTTGGACTATGACAGAGAACGATGCTACTACATTTCCCAGACTGCGGACCACCAGAGGGTGCCTGCCAATTAAAGGTACTGGTGGACGAATTCGAGGCATCCCTTTGTTGGGGTGATTCGGTATTCGGCCTTTGATGAGGTCAGTGTTCAGAAACGCATCACAAGAAGACGGAATGTGTTTTAAAATTGATCAAATAAAAGGATCCGATCAAGTGGAACGGATTAATTTTGTTGCTTGTTCGAGATTTTGCTTTGTTGGTGTTAAGGTTTAAGAATAATAGATACAGTCTAGATTAGTTAGGGTAACATGGAGAAAATAGTGTGATTGAGAGCAGATAGAGATGAACTACGGTATAATATCTTTGTAATTTGAATACGCAAGTTTATAAATCAATTAAAAGTTGATTGCAAAATAGAAAGCAGGTAAATATGTCTATAGAAAGAGAAAGAGTTAAGAAAGTACATAAAGAAATCTAAGCAACTTGTCTAAAATAAGGGACAACCCATCATGGGAAATTAAAAGAACTTGAGATGTAACTTAGCCCACTTGTTACGGAATTCACTTTTTCTATCACTTACCTACCTTAAATCAGTCATGATAAATTTATCTCAAATCAATCGCTCCAAAACTTTATAGTTATTTACGTCAGTGTACTTATAAGACTTGGACAGTACTGCGACACACCTCATCTTTCAAATGTTGCATATAAAAATTGTTTACACTACCCACTAGTAATAATCTTTATGTAAATGTGGTGCGCCTTTTAAAAGCACGCTAGTAACAAGTGGGTTAGGGAACTAGGTAATACTTAAGTCTATAATAATATTAAAATAGTTTAACTCTCAGAATGGTTTCCAGAAAAGACAATAACGTTCGGTCACATACGAACTGTAGTTGAATTTAGGCAATGAATGGACGATTTAAGTGATATATTCGTATCTTACCGTCCCAAGATATTGGAGTATTATATTTTACTCCGTAAATGCAGACTTGGGAAGATAATATACTCTTTGTCGAGACTAAACTATTTGATATATTAAAAGAATATAACATCTAGCTGATTGTAGGCATTGCGGAAATGTTTACTTTAAATCTACACATTTACGTATGCCAGTGGCTTAATTTAACGTACTCGTATGTGAAAATACGATAGCAGAACTTATGAAAATTAAATATCTCTACATAATTATATCCACCAAAACTATTACTACCTTAAAGTAAGTTCTACTACATTTTTCCAAGTGTTTTTATGCGACAAACAAACGTTACGGGGCAAAGAACAAAAAGAAGTACATCTTTTTTAAACTAGTTAACCATGTGAATGACGTTGCTTAGAAAGTCTGTAGAATAACATAGAGCTCACACTAAGGATAAAAATTGTCTCAATAATGACATTTTACAATATTTTTTGAAAAGAAGATAAAGTATTTAATTCAATAACATGTTACAGTGCTTTATTACTACATACCTTAACAACTGCTTACATAATGTGGTTTAGAAAAAAGGGTATCCTTATACCTTGAGTAAAATCAGGGTATCTGTAATGCGCCCCCATAGTTCTGTTTGCAGACCTCCAATCAGCGGAATGTTCCTATTCCATTAAACAAATGAACCGGAGGAAAGAAAATAATGCGGGCTCAGGGACACAGCGTAGACTCTTTCAGAAGTACTAGTTCATAAATACTTGATTAGACTAACCTCTCACCTGCATACCTGTGGCGAAAAATCATTATACCTACTTGTACAGAAAAATTGGCCATAGTTAAGAGGCTAAGGGTATGTAAGGTTAAGATGTATGCAAACAATATTTAGGCCTCCCCAAATCATCAGACAAGCGTGGTGAGATCAGGCTAAGTCATTCCTTTTCCCCCTCTCCTTGTCTCTGGTAAATTACAGATTCTTATCAGAGGCTCCTGCAGTAGAGACTGAATAAAATCAATAATTTAAGATTGAAACTGTACTACATGCATTGACCAATTGACCATGTTGCATTTAAACGAATATGATGCATTGGTTTACATTATAACTGCAATTAATTAGGGTATTAGTTCCTTTTTTGGACGCTAAAATTCTTCAGGGAGTTTTTATTGGACTCTACTAAAGTTAAAATCATCTAGTATAGGCTAGTGAGTCCCAATAAATCTGGTGTTAATAGAGATAGATCCTCAGTATTTTCCTATTGACCTCTGAACAATTTGATTTGCATATGCAATCACTGTCTAATCTCTAAAAGCTCCTACCACTTCTGTTTGGCAATTATGAAACTGCATTTAGAACGTCAGTAAGTTTAGAACGTTTTGTGTGTACAGTCGACAGCACATTAGACTCTACATTTTTGTTGCAAAACCACTCTTATGACAACTATTTAAGATGTCACAGAGTTAAACTTCATGTGCTGTCTTATGTACTCGATTTATGATCGTCACTTACCATCAGGTGAGATACAGGCCAAGAGCTTCCTCGTTGTGGATAAAANCGCCCCCTAACCTATTCACACTGAAACAATAGGCTTATTACTGACGTCACGGACCCAGTGACTATTGCACGTCCGACACAATTTACGGGACGTAGCTTAGGGATGAGCAGTTGTCTCACTCGCACTTATGTAGGTATAGTTGTTTCTCTATTTGATAAGAGGCGAGAAGGTAACATACTAAGTGATTATCAAATGACATGGTCCGGTTGTTATCATCATCAGTCATATCAATTACCAACAAGCTCCTTGATTTTGATCAATTAATAAGTGTTATGTAAGAAGCTTTGAAAATCTAAACTCATAATTTATTCCTTAGTCCCGTCTGTGAGACTTATTGAATAAGAATCCATGCAGAGTTCCGCAATCAAGCAGAAAGTATATTACTACTGTAGACTGCCTACATTTTTATTGCAACTACATAAAATACCACAGTGCTTAGCTAAGCAGTAAGCAAGTGATTTCCGGCTTAGCAATGCTATTTAATCATCATCATCATCATTTCAGCCATAGGACGTCCACTGCTGAACATAGGCCTCCCCCAATGCTTTCCATGTTGATCGATTGGTAGCGGCCTGCGTCCAGCGCTTCCCTGCTACCTTTACGATTCACACGCTATTTAATCACTACTAATATTTTACGGAGATACCTACAAAGATAAACATTATT